TTATATTCAAGGTCACAGGGGTCAAATTTGTTTAAAATCTTTAAACAACCTCTTATGAATAACCATGGGTCCCAGGATGTTTATACTTTGCAAGTTGCATCCTGAGATGAAAGCCTATACAATGTGTTCAACATAATGACTTTATTCGACTTTTAATCACAGGGGTGAAATGTTTAAAAAAAAAATAACAGGGTCTTTTGAACGAATTTTAATCATAAATACTGATATTTTGCCTGTAGCTTTATTTTAGATCACTTCTACGGTTACAAGTGTGAGTTTTATACCAGGTGAGCGATGCAGGCCCATTGGGCCTCTTGTACTATTCACAGTTTACTTTCATTACTAAGTAGCTTAAACAAGGCAAAGTATTTTGAATAATCAATGGTCCCTCACCTCTGGACAAATTTCAGTATCAATGGGCCATAACTCTATGTAGCCAGACCTGATTTCAGTAAATGATAACCCATCACCCCAAGAGGTACAATGTATGCACGTAGATAATTAAGAAATTGTAGGCAACTAAGTATGTATGTGAGACATGCCCTAGATCATTCACTGATCACTTCTTATATATTCATATTAAAAGAAACAACCTAAGGGGAGGATTAAATTGTGGTCTCTTAACAGAAATGATTGCCTTGTAAAGTGTTCTGTAGATATATATTAATAAACTGTTTGGTTTAGGTAAGAAAATGGCTGTTTCTTAAGAAAGAGAATTGCTTAAAACTGCTTTCATTAATTGTAAGATTTCTAAACAAATTCTCCATGCGAAATTACATTTTATCTTATGAAATATTAGGAGACTTACAGTAAACCATGGTAGAATACTGCAGTTGACGTGTGATAGGACTACATGTGTGTAAGGGCTCAATGTGTGCCTGTCTAGGTCGACTGTAGTTTACATTGGTCTTGTGAGTTTGATAAGGGAAATATCAAGTTAGGAGGTAAACAAGACCATTTGGCAATAACTAATACTGTGCTTTTAAGATAAAATAAACCAAAGATACAAGTTATTCCAACATTTTATTGCACCTCAGAGTACACAAATAATACAAAATATAAAGACAATGATTTTCTTTACTTCATGGCTGTGTCTTATTAGTGTTAGTAGAAAGACCCTGTCAGGAGTCGGATTTTTCCAGGACATTATTGTACATGATTAAATCTGTTGATGTATAATATACACATATAACATGGTATCGATTACGCAGTCTGTGAATTCAGGGAAACCCATTTAGCAAGCTTTATTCATAGAAATGCTCTACTTTTGTCCTTGCTGGGTATCAGTTTAGACTATTGTGAGGTTTTCATATTTTCTAATGTTTTGATGACAATCAGTACTTTTAGTAAAATAAGTTTTTTGAAAATAAGTTACCTTGAGATTAAAAAACAATCTGGCATTCCTAGTTAACAAATACACTAAGTTTAACAAGCAATTAAAGTTCTGTTTTGATGTGAAATACAGCTACCTCAGACTATGTTACAATAAGGTACCTAGATTAGTATGGAGATGTTGGGTTGTTATAAGAGAAAGCTACCTAGATTAGCATTAGATATGGCTGTAATTACAGATATTTGTGTTGGGATGAAAGATGTGTGCTTATTTATGCAAAAAAATATGCAAAAAAATATTTTGCATTTATCTTTAAAGCTTGCAATGAAATATTGAGATTTATTAAAATGATTGATATCATGGTAACAAGAAAAATAATGATATACATAACATACTCATAACATTACATCTAAAATAAAATGTTTACCTGACATTAGTCGCATCTATGTTAAAATCTGATTAACCCAGTCAACAATTTTACATTAATTACAAACATAGGAATTGGGAGATTCTATATTTACATAACCAGTTCATGATCAGTTCCTAAATACAAATATTGTACAAAAGGGGGTGGATACTGGCAGACGAGATTCCTCCACTGGGTTACATAGTTTTGGAAATTTTGAAATTTTGATAAAAATCACACGTTTTCTCATAGCAAATATAATGAGTGAAAGAATAGAAAAGATGCCTCTTGTGAGGGCCTGTTTTTGTACAAGGAGGGAATCCAGGGCTCCTCAACCCTGGCCCACCTTATAAATGTGCAGAGGAGATAAAAAGTCATTATATATATAAAAAAAAAATACAAATATTGTATCATATATTTCTGTTCATCAAATATAGGGAATATTTTGACACCAAAAAATGTAAAGTCCCAAGTCCATTGGATAAACCTGCTAGGAGTCGGTCAACAATTTTTGTTACTTTGTAGTGGGTAACACTCTGGACGTGATTTCATTGGACAATCTTTTTATTATGACATCAAGTAACAATGCTTTGCGACGTCCTAGTCCATGGCAATTGTTTCCCCTGATTAGAAAGAAGAGTAATGTTTTCCCAATAGAAACATAGTAAGGTTTTCTAGATATAATATGTGAGGTTATGTGAGAAAAAGGGTCCCCAAACTTGTGACGGTTGGTTATCATGTTAATCTAAGTTCTGTTAAAGACACTCGATAAACCTCTCGTCTAGTGATGGGCAATCCGGTTAAAATCATAATCTATAATCGGTTTGTAATCAGAGGTAGTAATCCCAATGATGTTCAATTGCATTGATCAGTTTATGATTTTATGGGACCGAATACCCAAACTTTTTTAAACAGTTTTGTCAATCATATAGTATGATTTATAACAATAAATGACTTCCAATGTATACTTAACATTGTATATGTTTAATACTTTGATTCTGATAATAAACGGATTATATCGATTATGGAATTTGTAATTGATAATCGGAATCAGAAAGGGCAAACCAATCAATTTTCAATTATAATCAATCATTACTCCGTCACTACTTGTGTCTTTATACAATTTAAAAATTAACTATCTCCAATTAGATCAATATGAAAAACAATCATCACTTGTTAGGGAACCTCTATTTGTAACTCTTTTTTTTAACTCTTAAGTATGAGAAAATAATATTATAAAAACACCAACTACACTAAGTACAGTATACAGATTTGCGAGAAAAAAATAACATTTTGATGTTGAAAATGTTGGTTTTTATAAAGGCTAAAATTGATCAAGGAATATATTGGTTATACCCGATTACATTTATGGTGTCATGTCGATACCTTGAAATCACAAAAGTTTGTGGTGTTATTGTGTACACTCTACTGGGGTTTTACTATATATACAATGTTAAACATTAAATGACAGATTTCATAATGTTGTGTCTCTTAGGTCAATGAGTTAACTGAAGTTTATTTTCATGCACTCTTAACTTACTCTCCTTTCTAACACACATGGGGACAGAGCTGTTAGCACAATGCTACAAAAGTGCAAATCCGCTTTCCAAGAGTAATTATACTTATTTGGGAGAAAAAGACAAATTTAGTTAGTGTTGTATATATTACCAAGATTAGGATAAAAGGTGTTAAAATAAGGATATATGTTAACTGTGTTTATGGACTTGATACACATGCAATCAGCTAAGTACAATTTGTACGAGAATGATTTTGTTCCATTGTATAAATACACCAAGTCGTGAATTAATTCCAGTCACAGGTCTACTGTATCACTTAATTAATCACTACACACCACCATATCACTCTCCCATATCACTCTCCTATATCACTATATTACATAGCTCTTATAACATAAGAGGCTGCTGGTCAGCCTTTATTCTATCGGATATGCGGTGCCTGTCAAAAGTATCTCGCCGTGTAAACCTCTAACACTGTTGGAGATTCTATTACATCACAGATAAAATCCATTCCAAAGAGGTCGCTTTTTCAAAGTGCCTTTCATAGCAATGGAACCCAAACCTTCCTATCACTATAAACCTTAACCCTGAATTAACTATCAAAAAACTTAGACCCAGAAACTCCTCTCAATAAATCCAGAACTTTAAATCAAATTAAACCCAGAAACTCCTATCTCTTTAACCCTGAACCCAGAAACTCCTATCACTTATAACCTGAAGCCCAGAAACTCCTATCTCTTAAACCCTGAACCCAGAAACTCCTATCACTTATAACCTGAACCCAGAAACTCCTATCACTTATAAACTTAACCCAAAAACTCACTTAACCCTAAACTTCCTATTACTATAACTTTTAATGGTAGTTTGAAGCATTGTAACCTTGAAAACAAATGAACATATGATTTCTTTCTTGAACATCATAAAAAAAATGAAAATTATTACTTAAATGTGGAGGAATTCAAGATGGGTGAAAAAAAATCATGTAAATTTCAAAAGATTAAAATTACTCCGGGCCTCAAAAATTAATACATCTGATATGTAGACTAGAAATTAAATGAAGAGATATTGGTCACGGAGATGTCAGTGGTTTAAAGTCTTGTTTAACCGCAGCCACCACTATTCAACCTACATTTGTAGCCCATTACCCAGCCAGTTTTTCGGGAAAAAGTTTGGTTCCAATATAAAAACTGCTGCAGCTATCAGCAGGCATCATAGATGAGAATGAAGGTAGCTGGATTGATTAGGTTCACAATGCTTTATCAGATGTGTAGAACGGTGGGTCGTTAAGGAGGATGTTTCTCCTTCATCTCTTTGGTGTTTCGGGATTTCTCTGGAAGCTTCAATTCAAAACCAGTACCTGCAATTATATACAGGATAGTGTATGATTATTTATATATCATTTGATCTACTGCAACTTAAGCCAGAGGTCTAACAGCCTAAGCCCCGCTGAAAATAGTCTTAATGAAAAATATATTGCAACGTAAAGTAAGTACTGACAATTGGTGGCACATTTCATGTAAATCTGCTGAAGATATCGGTACGACAAATTCTAAATCTGTGACAGATTCTCCCAAGCTATTTTAGTCGCAAATGAAGCATAGATACATTCAAAAATGTTTCATCAAATCAGTCAAGCCAGCCATATTGAACCTTAAAAGTTGAAAATTGGTCATTAGACATCACTGAACTAGTAAAGTTGACCCATGCGGGCCTAGGCACTTAGGGAGTCTTGATGTAATTGTCCCAGCTAGACAAAGGCCATTTTGAATTTTCAAAAAGATGGCCATTCAACATTAAGTACATTTCCCTTATATCACTCCCACAATGATTCGTTGTAATCAGTCTGACAGTTTTGGAAAAGTTGTTGGGCTTAAAATAAAGGGCAATAACTCTGGAAAAAAAAGGTTGAATCAGAAAAATTAAAAGGAGGTGAGCAAGAGCATGATCATGCATATGAAGTTTTGTTGAAATTGGCTGTCTAGTTCAGGGGGAGTTGTCTGTACTTAATGCCATTAAAACAGTCAGGCATGATAAATAATAAATATATTCAGTTCATGAAAAGAAGTATTGAATTAACATCAACGAATATTGTTAGTACAACGTAACACATTGTTAGAAATATCTCGCTACGATTATAATTAATCCAACTACCAACATCAACAGGCTGAAATTAACCCCACATCCAAATATAAACAGCTTTATCATCAAATTAATTCCACTACAAAATATAAACTGGTCTAAATGTAACAGTTCCATTATGCAAATTACATATACTTTCCATTCTACTTATATCTAATTCTGCAGAGATGTACACAATTCCACAAGCCCTACGCCTGTGGCTTGTAGAGGTTATGTTGGGGCTTTTAAAAAAAAAATCAATATTTACTATGAAAAGATAGGTTGGGCTAGAAGAACCTATCAAAGTCGACCTGTGGGCTTGTACTCTACATATGAAATCATACATCCCTATTGAGGGAGGTGGGGGTCACTAAAAAGTCACCAACTCCCTTCTCCCCATACATTTTTTTTTCTGGAATATGGAATAGCTTACAGAAATATGTGGTTCTCCATTTCTACAAAAAGATCCTAATCCTTCAGTATAATCATCGTAAATCTAGGGTAAACTCAGTCACGTAATGAACACTTTTATATAAAATATGACAAAAAATAAGGAAGTTTCAATTTTCAGAGACATTCAGGAGGCAAAGATTTAGAAACACTCCCATTTAGCCCATCTACTTCACACCACACTTGCACACATGGACTGTTACACCAATCATCACCTTTATATTAATTGGGTATGTATTATAAAATCATCACACACGTTTCTTCTAATCACATAAAACCTAACATTACAAGCCCAATAGGCCTCATTGGTTAACTAAGGTGCACACTAATTGTTTTTTGGTGAACAAGGTTGGGGCTAATAAAGTTTGTTAAGTGTTATTATATTTATGGACCTTTCCATTCATGAAGAATTTGTGGGTCTGAGGGGAAAAAATCCTAAAATCTATGGCAATTTTCCCCTTTGGGCCCCACCCACCAGACTCCAGGGGTGGATCAGGGTATCAATTTATATATCAACAAATTGCCATCCTATAATCATAAATTGCACAGTTCCAACTCAGTTTTAACAATTTCATACTAAAAATGAACAAAACATATCCAAAAGTATTATTTCCTTGTATAAACTACAAATTAAATTATATTAAACTGAACACCCTCCCAAGGGGGCACGAATGATCGCAGGGTCATGAAATTTGCAATTCTGATTAATTATATATAAGCACCATATCATTACAGGACTTCTTGATCCATTAAGAGTAATTGATTTTAAGGACTTCTGGGTCTTAAGAAGAAGATTATACCAAATCTCACGTTTGATAATAGAATATTAGATATTAAATTAAGATTACACTTGTTACGTAATCCGACACAAAGCGTCCTTAAAACAATTTGGTAAAATATGAAAGATTGAATTAGGATTACACTTGTTATGACATTTAATGAAGATTATACTTGTTAAGTACCCTGACACAAAGCATATTTAATACACCAGTAGAGATGAGATATTCAAGGTTGATTAGATATTTAACAAAGATTACACGCTTTAAGTTACCTGACAAATAGCGTTCTATGCAGTTGGTTGTTTGCCTTTCTACAAAAGCAAATCATGTCATATGTCAACGCCTCCTTGTACTCTTTACCGAATCAGGGTGAACAGTGTATGTCTGACACCTAGCTAGTTTATAAGAAAGGTTCTGGTCACTGAAAATCCCTTGGTCCCTGGCTAAAAGTTTATTTCATCCGTGTACAGTTCCAATAGCCTGAAGTCCTAGTTTTGCCTGCAGGCTACTACTCTAAATGAAATCGTACATCACTGATTTAAGTTCTCATTCTTCAAAATTACCATGTACAATTGAGATGAATACAGATTTTGCTTTTTCTTCATCTTCTCACTGTTTTGAACCTTTCCCTTCAGACCATGGGTATTTCAACCTTTCCCCCACCCCTCAAAATAATAAGATAATTTGGGACTTGACCAAGACTACTACTTATATTACTATGACTTTGTATAATTGTCCTGTTGAACTTATTCTAGTACATACAAACAAGAGGCCCAATGGGCCTGCATCCCTCACCTGGTATTAATCTCACACTTTAATCTTAAAAGTAGACTAAAATAAAGCTACAGGCAGAATATCAGTGTTTGATTCATAAGAACCTATTAAAAGATTTAAACATATGACGCCTGTGACCTTGAATGTCAAACAAGGACATTAGGTTGAAAGTGGGTCAAGGTCATTCATTTGAACAAACTTGGTAGTTCTTCATCCCAGCATGCTACAGGCCCAATTTCAGTACCCTAGGCCTTTTGGTTATTGAGGAGAAGTGGTTTGAAGATTTTACGACATTTGACCCTTGTGACCTTGAAAGTTGGTCAAGGTCATTCATTTGAACAAACTTGGTAGCCCTTCATCCCAGCATGCTACAGGCCCAATAGCAGTACCATGGGCCTTTTGGTTATTGAGAAGTTGTTTGAAGATTTTAAGACATTTTTACCCTATGACCTTGAAAGTGGGTCAAGGTCATTCATTTGGACAAACTTAACAGTTCTTCATCCCAGCATGCTACAGGCCCAATATCAGTACCCTGGGCTTTTTGTTATTGAGAAGAAATCGTTTGAAGCTTTTAAGACATCTTACCCCAGTGACCTTGAAAGTGGGTCAAGGCCATTCATTTGAACAAACTTTGTAGCCCTTCATCCCAGTATGATACAAGCCCAATATCAGTACCCTGGGCCTTTTAGTTATTAAGGTAATAGGATTGTGTCGCCATTTCTCAGTAGAATTTCTTCCAATTTTGTAGTTATATTGCTTTGAAGAAAAGAAAATTTTCTGCCACAAAAAAAATATAGGTTGTCAGAATTTTGAGGAATTTAAATGGAAATTTATGTAAAAAGGAATGACTTTTGAGAAAAAAATAATAAAAACACAATTTTTTGCAAAATTATGTCAATTAAATGATACTGCCATAGATTAGTATTGCATTAATATCAATTTAATAAATGCTGAAATTATGTCAAATAAATTATCTATAAACGATTAGAAATTGACATTTTATAATAAAACCATATGCACATAGTAATTGCAGGTAAGAGTTATCTTTCTTGAAAAACTTCACAGTAGTGAAATAGTTAGCCGGTTTCCTGAAGTACAGAAAAATGGATACATGTAGCTCATTGATAAAAAAAACCCTGAATTAATGCCTGCATTGCTTTGAAATACTTTAATATTGAGATAAAACACTGTTCTGTCAATAATAAACATACAATATTCATCAGTTTAATATTAAACATAAGAATATGCGGAAATTGTGATACTGTCTCCCTACATTGGATTTTCAACTAGGGATGTACTTCCTACTTCTGTTTATCGATACACTCCTATTACCTTAAGAAGAAGTCGTTTGAAGATTTTAACATATTTGACCCCTGTGACCTTGAAAGTGGGTCAAGGTCATTCATTTGAACAAACTTTGTAGCCCTTCATCCCAGTATGCTACTGGCCAAATATCATCAGCCTAAGCCTCTTGGTTATTTAGAAGAAGTTGTTTAAAGTAAAAAGTTGACGCCGGACGCTGCACCATGCCATAAGCTCACTTGGCCCGAAGTAGTCTGCATTGATTCTTATACATGCTCATGCCCAGCAGTTTTTTTTTAGTTTATTTAATGCAGGAGGTCCTTGCCATTTCAAAAGCTTGTGCTTCAGACCATTATTTCTAACACAAATTTGAATTCCTATAATCAATGTCAACACACATTCGCTTCATATCGGCTGAAACCTGATATGATTTAGCAGAGCTGAACATTGACTTTCTCGTGTGTATTTATAGGAGTTAATAACATAGTGATTCTCAATCATGCGAAGTAACAGTCTACCATCTACCACCATTTTCATACATTCATGCACTATAGTTTCAATAATGGAAAATAAGAGAAGTCCTAACACTTTATTGTGACATGATTTGCAACAAGGTAGCTGGCCCCCAACGGCACACATATGCATCAACTCAGTTAAAGATTGACTATTGGGATCATGAAATAATATTTGTCATTGTCATTGTCACTGACCTAATAAATACATCAAAAGAACACTTACCTTTCTGGTCTAAGTTCTTTAAATCTCCAGTTTCATGTCGAAGTCTAAGGCGTAAAATATACTGCATAAATTCATTCCTGAAATCAAATAAATAAATTGTACACCATTCATGAATTCATGAATTGTGATAAATCTCTGATAAATTTAAAAATAATGATAAACAAGACATTTCACTGGTTTATTATGTAAAACTCTTTCCAAAAACATATATAGGATTTTACAGGAGTTTCCATTTCATATGAGATCTATGAAACGAGTCTTAAGAATTTTTCAATTTAGTGAGCCTCTGGCAGCTAAAATGAAAAATTTGTGACAAGTTTCATAAATTTCATTTGAAATGAAAACGAGTGTAAGATCCTTTCTATCACACAATCAAGATTTGTGGCATTTATTTGTGTAAAACAACAATTTTCATGCAATTTTGAAATGTAAAAAGCCGCCATTTTGACTCTAGTGCGTAAGTCTGTGACGTCATGTACTGTCCTAGGCATGACGCCACAATTTAAACAATTGAAACTTACAACCAATCACAGGGCCGATAGGTCATATAACATGCCATTGGGTTAATATGCAAAAAATATGACAAGGGTATATTCACTGGATAACACAGTACGTTATGTGATAAATAAGTATCACAGAAAGTTAACCGTACAAGTGATGATTACCTGGTATGTGGTAAAATCTGGACCAGTTTTTCAAGGTAAAAGGATCAAGGTCTTAATTTGCTCTGACTCATTATGGGATGTTGAAGTAAACATACCTATGTTCTGCTTTGGCAATACCTATTCGCTCCAGTTTTATTTCATTCATACGTATCAGTGTTCTTCCTGAAAATTTCATCAACATTAAAAACTTTATTGAATAACTAACATGTATAATCATACATAAAATAAGAAAACAACAGCAAAATCACTTAAATTTTCTAAACAAGAGCTAGGCCAATGGGCCTTAAAAGCTGTCTGGAATTTTATATTTAATTCATAATATGTTAAACAAGATACAGGTATAGTAACATTTCCACCCGCTATGTACTGCATCTTCAGGACAAAATAACAATATGTCATGAGGCCTAATGTAAGAAACAGCAGTGAAATTATATCATTTAATTTAGATTCTGAAAATATGTGATGAACATCTAATGCTAGATAGTCTAATAGAGGTACATCTTTAGTTCAGTTGCCTCGTAAAATATATCCCAACAGCCAAATTATGGCGCAATTTAGAATGGAGAGAGGATCCGCATGTAATTTAAGTTGTGCTGGCTTTTGGTTCCTTTGATGGACAACTTACTAAGATTATGTATAATACTGAATATTCTGTGGTAATAAATGTATGTTGATTTTACCATTATTGTAGATATGCCCTGTCCAGTAAACCGTACGCGTGGTGAGTACATCTTCAGACAAATTAATCTACACTGTGTCACCTACAGCAATGTTATCAGGTTCTACACTGTGTCACCTACAGCAATGTTATCAGATTCTACACTGTGTCACCTACAGCAATGTTATCAGATTCTACACTGTGCCAACTACAGCAATGTTATCAGATTCTACACTGTGTCACCTATAGCAATGTTATCAGATTCTACACTGTGCCACCTACAGCAATGTTATCAGATTCTACACTGTGCCACCTACAGCAATGTTATCAGATTCTACACTGTGCCACCTACAGCAATGTTATCAGATTCTACACTGTGCCACCTACAGCAATGTTATCAGATTCTACACTGTGCCACCTACAGCAATGTTATCAGATTCTACACTGTGCCACCTACAGCAATGTTATCAGATTCTACACTGTGCCACCTACAGCAATGTTATCAGATTCTACACTGTGCCACCTACAGCAATGTTATCAGATTCTACACTGTGCCACCTACAGCAATGTTATCAGATTCTACACTGTGCCACCTACAGCAATGTTATCAGATTCTACACTGTGCCACCTACAGCAATGTTATCAGATTCTACACTGTGCCACCTACAGCAATGTTATCAGATTCTACACTGTGCCACCTACAGCAATGTTATCAGATTCTACACTGTGCCACCTACAGCAATGTTATCAGATTCTACACTGTGCCACCTACAGCAATGTTATCAGATTCTACACTGTGCCACCTACAGCAATGTTATCAGATTCTACACTGTGCCACCTACAGCAATGTTATCAGATTCTACACTGTGCCACCTACAGCAATGTTATCAGATTCTACACTGTGCCACCTACAGCAATGTTATCAGATTCTACACTGTGCCACCTACAGCAATGTTATCAGATTCTACACTGTGCCACCTACAGCAATGTTATCAGATTCTACACTGTGCCACCTACAGCAATGTTATCAGATTCTACACTGTGCCACCTACAGCAATGTTATCAGATTCTACACTGTGCCACCTACAGCAATGTTATCAGATTCTACACTGTGCCACCTACAGCAATGTTATCAGATTCTACACTGTGCCACCTACAGCAATGTTATCAGATTCTACACTGTGCCACCTACAGCAATGTTATCAGATTCTACACTGTGCCACCTACAGCAATGTTATCAGATTCTACACTGTGCCACCTACAGCAATGTTATCAGATTCTACACTGTGCCACCTACAGCAATGTTATCAGATTCTACACTGTGCCACCTACAGCAATGTTATCAGATTCTACACTGTGCCACCTACAGCAATGTTATCAGATTCTACACTGTGCCACCTACAGCAATGTTATCAGATTCTACACTGTGCCACCTACAGCAATGTTATCAGATTCTACACTGTGCCACCTACAGCAATGTTATCAGATTCTACACTGTGCCACCTACAGCAATGTTATCAGATTCTACACTGTGCCACCTACAGCAATGTTATCAGATTCTACACTGTGCCACCTACAGCAATGTTATCAGATTCTACACTGTGCCACCTACAGCAATGTTATCAGATTCTACACTGTGCCACCTACAGCAATGTTATCAGATTCTACACTGTGCCACCTACAGCAATGTTATCAGATTCTACACTGTGCCACCTACAGCAATGTTATCAGATTCTACACTGTGCCACCTACAGCAATGTTATCAGATTCTACACTGTGCCACCTACAGCAATGTTATCAGATTCTACACTGTGCCACCTACAGCAATGTTATCAGATTCTACACTGTGCCACCTACAGCAATGTTATCAGATTCTACACTGTGCCACCTACAGCAATGTTATCAGATTCTACACTGTGCCACCTACAGCAATGTTATCAGATTCTACACTGTGCCACCTACAGCAATGTTATCAGATTCTACACTGTGCCACCTACAGCAATGTTATCAGATTCTACACTGTGCCACCTACAGCAATGTTATCAGATTCTACACTGTGCCACCTACAGCAATGTTATCAGATTCTACACTGTGCCACCTACAGCAATGTTATCAGATTCTACACTGTGCCACCTACAGCAATGTTATCAGATTCTACACTGTGCCACCTACAGCAATGTTATCAGATTCTACACTGTGCCACCTACAGCAATGTTATCAGATTCTACACTGTGCCACCTACAGCAATGTTATCAGATTCTACACTGTGCCACCTACAGCAATGTTATCAGATTCTACACTGTGCCACCTACAGCAATGTTATCAGATTCTACACTGTGCCACCTACAGCAATGTTATCAGATTCTACACTGTGCCACCTACAGCAATGTTATCAGATTCTACACTGTGCCACCTACAGCAATGTTATCAGATTCTACACTGTGCCACCTACAGCAATGTTATCAGATTCTACACTGTGCCACCTACAGCAATGTTATCAGATTCTACACTGTGCCACCTACAGCAATGTTATCAGATTCTACACTGTGCCACCTACAGCAATGTTATCAGATTCTACACTGTGCCACCTACAGCAATGTTATCAGATTCTACACTGTGCCACCTACAGCAATGTTATCAGATTCTACACTGTGCCACCTACAGCAATGTTATCAGATTCTACACTGTGCCACCTACAGCAATGTTATCAGATTCTACACTGTGCCACCTACAGCAATGTTATCAGATTCTACACTGTGCCACCTACAGCAATGTTATCAGATTCTACACTGTGCCACCTACAGCAATGTTATCAGATTCTACACTGTGCCACCTACAGCAATGTTATCAGATTCTACACTGTGCCACCTACAGCAATGTTATCAGATTCTACACTGTGCCACCTACAGCAATGTTATCAGATTCTACACTGTGCCACCTACAGCAATGTTATCAGATTCTACACTGTGCCACCTACAGCAATGTTATCAGATTCTACACTGTGCCACCTACAGCAATGTTATCAGATTCTACACTGTGCCACCTACAGCAATGTTATCAGATTCTACACTGTGCCACCTACAGCAATGTTATCAGATTCTACACTGTGCCACCTACAGCAATGTTATCAGATTCTACACTGTGCCACCTACAGCAATGTTATCAGATTCTACACTGTGCCACCTACAGCAATGTTATCAGATTCTACACTGTGCCACCTACAGCAATGTTATCAGATTCTACACTGTGCCACCTACAGCAATGTTATCAGATTCTACACTGTGCCACCTACAGCAATGTTATCAGATTCTACACTGTGCCACCTACAGCAATGTTATCAGATTCTACACTGTGCCACCTACAGCAATGTTATCAGATTCTACACTGTGCCACCTACAGCAATGTTATCAGATTCTACACTGTGCCACCTACAGCAATGTTATCAGATTCTACACTGTGCCACCTACAGCAATGTTATCAGATTCTACACTGTGCCACCTACAGCAATGTTATCAGATTCTACACTGTGCCACCTACAGCAATGTTATCAGATTCTACACTGTGCCACCTACAGCAATGTTATCAGATTCTACACTGTGCCACCTACAGCAATGTTATCAGATTCTACACTGTGCCACCTACAGCAATGTTATCAGATTCTACACTGTGCCACCTACAGCAATGTTATCAGATTCTACACTGTGCCACCTACAGCAATGTTATCAGATTCTACACTGTGCCACCTACAGCAATGTTATCAGATTCTACACTGTGCCACCTACAGCAATGTTATCAGATTCTACACTGTGCCACCTACAGCAATGTTATCAGATTCTACACTGTGCCACCTACAGCAATGTTATCAGATTCTACACTGTGCCACCTACAGCAATGTTATCAGATTCTACACTGTGCCACCTACAGCAATGTTATCAGATTCTACACTGTGCCACCTACAGCAATGTTATCAGATTCTACACTGTGCCACCTACAGCAATGTTATCAGATTCTACACTGTGCCACCTACAGCAATGTTATCAGATTCTACACTGTGCCACCTACAGCAATGTTATCAGATTCTACACTGTGCCACCTACAGCAATGTTATCAGATTCTACACTGTGCCACCTACAGCAATGTTATCAGATTCTACACTGTGCCACCTACAGCAATGTTATCAGATTCTACACTGTGCCACCTACAGCAATGTTATCAGATTCTACACTGTGCCACCTACAGCAATGTTATCAGATTCTACACTGTGCCACCTACAGCAATGTTATCAGATTCTACACTGTGCCACCTACAGCAATGTTATCAGATTCTACACTGTGCCACCTACAGCAATGTTATCAGATTCTACACTGTGCCACCTACAGCAATGTTATCAGATTCTACACTGTGCCACCTACAGCAATGTTATCAGATTCTACACTGTGCCACCTACAGCAATGTTATCAGATTCTACACTGTGCCACCTACAGCAATGTTATCAGATTCTACACTGTGCCACCTACAGCAATGTTATCAGATTCTACACTGTGCCACCTACAGCAATGTTATCAGATTCTACACTGTGCCACCTACAGCAATGTTATCAGATTCTACACTGTGCCACCTACAGCAATGTTATCAGATTCTACACTGTGCCACCTACAGCAATGTTATCAGATTCTACACTGTGCCACCTACAGCAATGTTATCAGATTCTACACTGTGCCACCTACAGCAATGTTATCAGATTCTACACTGTGCCACCTACAGCAATGTTATCAGATTCTACACTGTGCCACCTACAGCAATGTTATCAGATTCTACACTGTGCCACCTACAGCAATGTTATCAGATTCTACACTGTGCCACCTACAGCAATGTTATCAGATTCTACACTGTGCCACCTACAGCAATGTTATCAGATTCTACACTGTGCCACCTACAGCAATGTTATCAGATTCTACACTGTGCCACCTACAGCAATGTTATCAGATTCTACACTGTGCCACCTACAGCAATGTTATCAGATTCTACACTGTGCCACCTACAGCAATGTTATCAGATTCTACACTGTGCCACCTACAGCAATGTTATCAGATTCTACACTGTGCCACCTACAGCAATGTTATCAGATTCTACACTGTGTCACCTACAGCAATGTTATCAGATTCTACACTGTGCCACCTACAGCAATGTTAGCAGATTCTACACTGTGCCACCTACAAAAATGCTATCAGATTCTACACCAGATTCTTTAATGCATCTATAGAACTGTTAATACTGTTCTTAGTAATACATCTGTACACCCAACAAGTCCTCTACCAGGGCTTTATGGGACTTATACAACATACAATCATCCAGTAAAGCTTCAGACTAAATATGGTAACAATCAGTGCTGTTGATCAGGAGCAGTAGGCTTCAGGAGATTAAAATGCCTAAGTTTGCTCTATAACCGGACAATCTTATGCTCCACCACTCTGACCCCAGGTTACATTGCCCATGTGATGTTTCAGACCAAAATTAAATTTTGTAACAATCTGCACTATCTTAAAGGATGATTTCATAGACATCATTGTAAACCAGTGATTTCTGTATAACAAACTAAACCTTCAGAAAATAGGAGCAATGTACAGCAAGACAAAGTACTGCAAGGAAATTCATAGTCGCCCACCACTTATGATTTCTATATATACCGAGCTATACAGTAACAACTATGTACATACCTATCATGGGATCAACCCTTTGTAAAGTAAAGGATGCATCCTGATACAGAATAGGGCAAATCTTTCCAATGATTGTAGTCAGAGGTCACAATAAAGATCGCAGCTTTCGGTACAGTAAATTCAGACATCTAAGGATATACCTGGATACCAAATTTGGTTACTCCAGGTGAAATAGTATAGAAGATATACCCCAGACAAACTTTTTCAATGGTTATAAGGTCAAATGTCAAAGCATGGGTCACAGTCAGTGACCTATACTCCAAAAGATGTATTTGCAGATTAAATTTATGAGATTCTAAAGTTTTGTGAGAAAATATTACACTATATGTAAACTTCAAAATCTGCAAAGTTTTGAAAAGTTAATAAATTTATACATCAAATAATTATGAACAGACAACAGGTGTATGAATGGTTTACCTCTGACTGAGCATCCGAGATACACCACCTATCTATTGGCAAATGAAAATGACCATACAAATGAATGACAAAACCTCAATGATCAGGATTGTCTACCCATAATTATTGATGAGCCATAGATGTGATTAAGAGACATGCTGACCAGTGACTTCCTGTTGTAGAAGCAAATCCCCGTAGATGCCATGGAACTGGCTGCAGTGTTTCTTGAGCCACTTGTTGACATCAGCACAGGTCCAGAAGTACAGGGGCTTAGTCTTGCTTTTAGTTGTCTTCTTGACTGTTGACTGTGTACTGGCTGTGCTTGTCACATTCTCCTTGACCGTTGAATGTGTACTGGCTGTGCTTGTCACATTCTCCTTGACCGTTGAATGTGTACTGGCTGTGCTTGTCACATTCTCCTTGACTGTCGACTGTGTACTGGCTGTGCTTGTCACACTCTCCTTGACCGTTGAATGTGTACTGGCTGTGCTTGTCACATTCTCCTTGACCGTTGAATGTGTACTGGCTGTGCTTGTCACATTCTCCTTGACCGTTGACGGTGTACCTATGGTGTTTGTCAGATTCTCTTTGTGTTTGGACTGTTGTACAGAAGACAACATAACATGACATATTTAGGTATATTTTACTATCATACAAAGAAAACAACATACACTGGCAAATACATATACATTACATTTCTCTGGTGTGTTTTAGCGACAATGTTTCTCGATAGATGTTATATGCATGCTTATTATACGGTTGGGTATTTTTTTCTTTTAACATCATTGTTTAATTATCACTTGTTAAAGCCTGGTAAAAACTTGTGGTACTCTGTACCAGCCGACACAAAATACAATTTACTTGACTTGAGAATCACAATTAGACAAAACTCAATTCATACATTGAATTGATTTTGTTTTTGACCATAAATGTATATACATTCATGTATCAGTTACAACTATATACATGTATCATAATGCAGTTGGCCTATTTTTTTTATACCAGTGGTGTTATCTCTGGCGGCTGCGCGACTTCTGTTCTAATGACAGCCGGAGTCTCCATGTTAGCTGTTCTCTAACTCATTACACTGAAACCAAAACCAACAAAACGTGCAGTTGAAAATGTTACACTGATCAGATATTCCCAAAATTCATTGATAAACTTGGACAAGAACGTATCATACGTGAACAGGTATCATATGTATTCTTGAGCTTGTCATTTTTTTGTGTATGTTTTTTAACGGGTACATATGTCATCTCGGCAGTTTTGGTTTGAGATACCTAGGTACTCATTGGTATTTTTTCGGTACTTGGAAAACTTTATATAATGCATGTTATACATGTCACTATATACTAAGAAAACTTAATTTAATGTCCATGTTATACATAATTTTGAACAAATTACCACAAATTACGTACATACGATGACAACAAATACAAACTATAGATTCACGGATATCAGATCCAATTGCAACTTAAACATCAAACTGGATCCTGGAAAAGTACCGACTTGTCTTCAAAAAGTGCTGAGGTAACCAAGTGCCGGGGTAAGCAAGTGCCGAAGATATGAGTGCCGAGGTGTCCAAGTACCGACTTCACCAGGTGCCGAGGCGTCTATGATTCGTTTTAACTGCTTTCATAAGATAGTTGACAGATGAAAAGGTTGGGGATCATTCATTGTACGATGAAATGTTTCTTATCTTGTTTTAGGGAATATCTTTGCTTATGGGGACAACAAATGAAAAGACATATATAAAGTATTTAAGCCCAACCTGCTGGCTTGATGAATACGGAAACAAACAGGTGTCCGACCGGTGTATCATAACTTTTGCATATGAATAACAGAACAGTTATGTATCTTAACGCTTAAACGAATCGTTCACATTCCTATAACAATCGGTCGTTTGTAAAGTCCAAATGAGATATACTTACAGAATTGTTAACATGATCAATTCTAAACTTTCACAAATCAAACACTGTGATCTGTATTATGTCAAAGAAGTAAACAGAAAAATTCCGGAAACGGAAGTAGAATAAATGGTTGTGCTCGCTTCTTTTTTCAGTTTTAGGGGTACCTTAAGGGCCGGGGGACACCACAAATGACTGTACAGAAATGTAAGACTACATTCGCGTAACCCGGTTGAAACGGAACGTGTGGCGCAGAAATTTTCCACGATAAACGAACGCACTTGGACCGGTCTATACGGAGAATATAAACAAGAGGCCCAATGGGCTTGCATCGCTCCGTCGCTCACCTGATATTAATCCAACACTTGTAATCTCTCATAAGATTTCATAAGAACCTATTAAAAGATTTAAACATATGACGCCTGTGACCTTGAATGTCGAACAAGGACATTAGGTTGAAAGTGGATCAAGGTCATTCATTTGAACTAACATGGTAGTCCTTCATCCCAGCATGCTACAGGCCCAATATCAGTAACATGGGCATTTTGGTTATTGAGAAGAAGTCGTTTGAAGATTTTAAGACATTTGACCCCTGTGACCTTGAAAGTTGGTCAATGTCACTCATTTTAACAAACTTGGTAGCCCTTCATCCCATCATGCTACAGGCCCAATATCAGTACCCTGGGCCTTTTGGTTACTGAGAAGAAGTCGTTTGAAGATTTTACGACATTAGACCCCTGTGACCTTGAAAGTTGGTCAAGGGCATTCATTTGAACAAACTTGGTAGTCCTTCATCCCAGCATGCTACGAGCCGAATATCAGTACCCTGGCCCTTTTGGTTAATGAGAAGAAGTCGTTTGAAGATTTTACGACATTAGACCCCTGTGACCTTGAAAGTTGGTCAAGGTCATTCATTTGAACAAACTTGGTAGTCCTTCATCCCAGCATGCTACAAGCCGAATATCAGTATCCTAGCCCTTTTGGTTATTGAGTAGAAGTTGTTTGAAGATTTTACGACATTAGACCCCTGTGACCGTGAAAGTTGGTCAAGGTCATTTATTTGAGCAAACTTGGTAGCCCTTAATCCCAGCGTGCTACTGGCCAAATATCATCATCCTAGGCCTTTTGGTTACTGAAAAGAAGTTGTTTAAAGTAAAAAGTTGACGCTAGACAGACGGACGACGGACGACGGACGCCGCACCATGGCATAAGCTCACTTGCCCTTTCGGGTAGGTGAGCTAAAAACAGTGTTTCAAGAATATTATGACCTTCTGTCATCCGTCTGCTGAATTACATAACGTATCTTAAAAACGCAATAGTCAGCATTTTAGTTTCGGTCAGGTGCGTCTGGACCCCTCTATCTACACGTGCCGAATTTTTCTGAGGTCAGCCTCGGTACAGATCCGTACCTGTCGTTTTCTTTTCAGATTCAATCGGTTCAACCGGATACGCGAATGTACCCTAAATGTTACTGACAAGAAAGGGAGAGTAAAACAGTTTTTGTTGTTATTGTTTTTTTTTCGCAATATAGAAATATTTCTGAGATATGAAATACATTTCCCTTTATCTTTTTCAGTAGTCATAAAAAGGGTTAAATTCATCGACACTTAAGTTATATAGGCCGGGAGCTGGGAAATCTAGCCATTTTGGGTCTTCAGCAAATATTCGCAAATTTGAGGGTCTTAGCAGTTAATTACCTTGATTTTACTGCCTGTGTCATAACATGTAAACAGATGAGATCCTTAACATTTTACCATACTATTGCTATGCATGACAAGACGAAGACATTCATGCTACTAGGTTTAGCCCAAAGATCCTCCCCACCCCTCAGGACTTAGTCCAAGGGTCATAACATTGAACACTTGATATCTGCTAGGTACCAAACAAATACGCTATTTCTACCACAATCGGGCCTGGGGGTCCAGACCCAACCCTAGGTACAAAAGTACGTCAAGTATAGCTATAAACATAGAACAAATGTCACTCTAAGTCCCAATATTTCGGCCTCCTGGCCTTCTTCAAGGGCAAAAGTCAACGGTTGTTTCAAGTAACGTCAAGTAGTGTCTAGCTATAGTATGTCATAGCATGGAAACAGTTGAAACCCCTACCTTATAAACATGTATGCAATAGCTTGGCAAACAAAATATTCATACTTCTAGGATTGGCTCCGGGATTAACCTCGCCCTTGGTATTTATTTCTTTGGTCATAGCATGGAAACGGTTGAAATCCCCACCCTAGATATTACCATATAAACAATTGCTAGGACCTATCACTTTAAGTAAGGCATGAAGAATCGAAGACTTTCAGCCTATTGGGCTGGAGTCCAGACACACCACTGGGGTCTTACTCCTTGGGTCATAACAGATAACCATTTATAAAATTATTGGGCATAGGGATATCAGTACACCAATGCTGTTAGGATTTGCTCTAGAGTCTTTCCTCACCCATTGTAAATGTTTAAATCCATCATATAACTAAACATATACATAACATTGCTATGCAAGAAGAGACGAAAACACCCGTGTTACCATGATTCTCCCGGGTATCCAGACCCAAAGACGGGACAAAAATTGGTTAAAAACAATGAAAATCTTCGTCTTTAAAAGTGACCTCATCAGCTGTCTTATACCGAAATCAAAACAAAGAAAATCCACGTCTTTAAAAGTGTTTTCATCAGCAGTCCTATACCAAGGTTTAAACAACAAAAATCCATGTTTTCAAAAGTGTTCCCATCAGCGGTCCTATACCCAGGCGAAAACAATAAAATGTCACGTCTTTAAAAGTGTTCTCATCAGCGGTCCTATACCAAGGTTAAAAACAATGAAAATCATAGTCTATGAAATTGTTCTCATCAGCAGTCTTATACCAAGTTAAAAGTTCAAAACAATGAAAATATACGTCTTTGAAAGTGTCCTCGTCAGCGGTCCTATGCCAAGGTTAAAACAATGAAAACATACGTCTTTGAAAGTGTTCTCATCTGCGGTCTTATGCCATGGTTAATCAAATGAAAATCCACGTCTTAAAAAGTGTTTTGATCAGCAGTCCTAAACCAAGATGAAAACAATAAAATTTCACGTCTTTAAAAATGTTATCATCAGCGGTCCTATACCAAGGTTAAAACAATGCAAATTCAAGTCTTTAAAAGGGTTTTCATCAGCAGTCTTATACCAAGGTAAAAAACAATGAAAATCTTCGTCTTTAAAAGTGTTCTCATCAGCGGTCCTGTACCACGATGAAAACAATAAAATTTCACGTCTTTAAAAGTGTTTTCATCGGTGGTCCTATACCAAGGTTAAAACAATGTAAATCCGCGTCTTTAAAAGCGTTTTCATCAGCGGTCCTTTACCAAGGTTAAAACAACGAAAACCCACGTCTTTAAACGATTTTTTATCAGCGGTCCTATACCAAGGTTTAAACAATGAAAATTCATGCTTGGAGAGTTCCTAGCGCTATGTTAATAATATTCAAGAAGAAACAAAACGGAGAGGTTTCTACATAAGCCTTTTTTCAGAATAGCCAGACCATCCGGATTCAATTTTTAGCTCACCTGCCCGAAGGGCAAGTGAGCTTATGCCATGGTGCGGGTTCCGTCGTCCGTCCGTACGTCATCCGTCTGTCCGGCGTCAACTTTTTACTTAAAACAACTTCTTCTCAATAACCAAAAGGCCCAGGGTACTGATATTAGGCCTGTAGCATGTATGGATGAAGGGCTACACAGTTTGTACAAATAAATGACCTTGACCCACTTTCAAGGTCAAAGGGGTCAATTGTCTTAAAATCTTCAAACAACTTCTTCTCAATAACCAAAAGGCCCAGGGTACTGATATTGGACCTGTAGCATGCTGGGATGAAGGACTACCAAGTTCGTCCAAATGAATGACCTTGACCAACTTTCAAGGTCAAAGGGGTCAAATGTCGTAAAATCTTCAAACGACTCCTTCTCAATAACCAAAAGGCCCAGGGTACTGATATTGGGCCTGTAGCATGCTGGAATGAAGGGCTACCAAGTTTGTTAAAATGTATCACCTTGACCAACTTTCAAGGTCACTGGGGTCAGATGTCTTAAAATCTTCAAACGACTTCTTCTCAATAACCAAAAGGCCCAGGGTACTGATATTGGACCTGTAGCATGCTGAGATGAAGGGCTACACAGTTTGTTAAAATGTATGACCTTGACCAACTTTCAAGGTCAAAGGGGTCAAATGTCTTAAAATCTTCAAACAACTTCTCAATAACCAAAAGGGTACTGAAATTAGGCCTGTAGCATGCTGGGATGAAGGACTACCAAGTTTGTTCAAATGAATGACCTTGATCCACTTTCAACCTGATGTCCTTGTTCGACATTCAAGGTCACAGGCGCCATATGTTTAAATCTTTAATAGGTTCTTATGAATCAAACACTGATATTCTGTCTGTAGCTGTAATTTAGTCCACTTTAATGATTACAAGTGTGAGATTAATACCAGATGAGCGATGCAGGCCCATTGGGCCTCTTGTCATTTACCGCAGCGCTAACCTCAAATTGAAAGTAAACTGATACTGCGATACCCACCCTGTCTCGATCTCCCGCGACGATTGCTATATCCTTTGTTCCATTCAGATGCAGATACACAGATGATTTTCAAATGAAATCCTCTTTTGAACATGAATATCTGCTGTAGCCAAAATATGTCAATTTTAAATGTTACAAAGGGTTTTATTGTCACCTACCTGTTCATTTTCTACGTACGTGTTAGAACATTTGGCCTGTAGTGCCACAAACGAGTCCGAACTGGACGTAATGGTCATATTGTTACTATATTTAGCTTTCTGTATGGTCCAATAAGTGCTTCCTTTCTTTTTGTATTTCCTATGGTTGTTTTACACAACAAGGTGGTTGACCCTGCTGGTGAATTATCAGACCCGAGGTTTGCTGTAGCCTTTTAGCTGGAGTTTATTATAATTCTGGCGCAGGGTTTACAGTAAAAACTAATTTAAATATAAATTATCTTGGTTGCCAAAAGTTGCATAAAGGCACATTTCGATTTTTCTCTGTATTCTACAATAGAACATATCTTTCGGAACACCTAAGACGTGTTTTTTTCATTCATTTGTCATTTAGTACCACTGATGGA